AGATCAGATCAGCCCAGCATCTAAGAACAAACAGAGAGCTAACAGTCATTCTGGCTCCCTCTTATGGCCGATTGAGGAAAACAGCAACCAATCACATTTTACAGCATGATTTAAAGAAACAGGTATTGCATTGTTACATGATTTATATATTGCCAACCCAACCGTTAGAATTATATTCCTAGCAGTAAATAATCCTTTAAAAAAAAGAAAGAAATAGAATTTTATATTGTTCCCCATCTCAAGGGTTAATCTCTCTTCTGGCACACTCATGACACAGGTTTGAAGTCGCGGAGATGAAAAGCAAAAAAAAAGACATGAAAATTTTTTTGTTACTGTCTTTCCTTTTTCAGCGATACTCTAATTTCAGAATGGTACTTAACTTCTCTGGGAATGTGGAGGGGTTATTATTATGCAATTTCTTACTGTGCGCACTTTAAAAAATGGTTCAGAAGGAGCACTTCTTAGCTCCAAGATGGCAAGCAGATAACCTTCCCTAGGATGGGTTAAAACAGCTGGATATTTTACTAAGATGTCTCGCAGGGGTGGGCTGCTGGAGGTTTACAGTGGTTCGGGAGAACCTTCCCTAGGATGGGTTAAAACAGCTGGATATTTTACTAAGATGTCTCGCAGGGGTGGGCTGCTGGAGGTTTGCAGTGGTTCGGGAGAACCTCCAGCTAAAATTCTGTGCAGTTTGGAGAATCCCCAAACTCCACTCCTGGCTGGCCCCGCCCAACCCTCCCCTCGATTCCTAGGAGTCCCCACACAGCCCATTTTGGATGCAGGTAAGTGCAGGGTGTGCGAGGAGGCTCGGGGAGGGTGAGGTTCAGGAAGGCTGGAAACAGGCTCAGAAATGGCTTCCAGAGGGCCTCCGGAACTTGGGGAGACCATTTTCGTCCTCCCGGAGGCTTTCCTGGAGCCCGGGGAGGGCAAAAACACCCCCCCCCATGCCATGGTGCAGGAGACTGACTAGGCCACGCCCGCCATGGCCACGCCCACCCAGCAATTGGGCACAGAACCCCTTGCTAAGGGGTTTTTGAAGCTCACCCCTGGATGTCTCATTAAAGCAACTGCGACTCTTAAGGCAGCCACGCTCTTTGGCTTAAAGCTGATAAAAGACAGACAAGGTCTTAAGAGTCTTCTGAATTTTTTTTAATTAAAAAAATAAAATTAAACAGCTGCAGAGGGCATAGGGACTGGCCTTGAAGGACAGAAGGGAGAGGTGTTGCCAGGGCAATCGACGGATGAGAGGGGCTGTTATTTGGGAAATATCTTGGGCGTGCCCTTCCCTAGTTCACACAAAGTCTAAGAAAGAGGGGGTGGGGAAACACCTTTAGACTTGCAAGATTCTGCTCCAATGAAAATTTCCTGACTTAGATGATTGTTCGTTTCTTAGTCTGGTCTACCTTATACGACTGACACAGGCATTGTGATATTAGCAATAGACTTATATACCGCTTCACAGTGCTTTATAGTACTCTCTAAGCGGTTTACAGTGTCAGCATCTTGCCCCCAACAATCTGGGTCCTCATTTTACCCACCTCGGAAGGATGGAAGGCTGAGTCAACCTTGACCCAGTCAGGATCGAACTCCTGGCAATGGGCAGAGTTAGCAATAGCACTTAGACTTATATACTACTTCATTGTGCTTTACATACTCTCAAAGCAATTTACAGTGTCATCATCTTGACCCTGACAATCTGGGTCCTCATTTTACTGACCTTGGAAGGATAGAAGGCTGTATCAACTTTGAGCCGGTCAGGATCGAACTCCTGGCAATGGGCAGAATTAGCAATAGCAATAGCACTTAGACTTATAATGCCACTTCACCATTCTTTACAGCACTCTCTAAGTGGTTTATAAGGTCAACATCTTGCCCCTCATTTTACCGACCTCAGAAGGATGAAAGGCTGAGTCCACCTTGAGCCTGTTAGGTTCGAACTCCTGACATTGAGCAGAGTTAGCCTGCAATATTGCATTCTAATCACTGTGCTACCACAATGGTGTTACTCAATGTTATTTAAGGAGGGAGATGATAAAAAAAAAAAACTTGGAACATTTTCACTTACTTGTCTCTTTTACATCTCTTTTAGTATACATCTGCGTTGACCCACGATGCAATCCTTGTCATAGCGGAAGCGTTCCGGTACCTCCGAAGGCAGCGGGTAGATGTATCCCGGAGAGGAAGTGCTGGAGATTGTTTAGCAAACCCAGCCGTGCCTTGGAGCCAAGGGATTGATATTGAGAGAGCATTGAAGATGGTAAGGATATAAAATGACAGCTGCTATTCTGTATTGGTTAAGTGGGAAAGGCCTTTGGGAAGGAAGACATTTCATTTATTTATCTTATTTGTTAATTTTAGATTGACCCGTCTATCTAATATGCAATGTTTTTTGTATATTTTGCAAAGTTACTCGAACCATTAAAAATTTCTAAAACAAATGTTTATTTTCTTTTGCCCTTCCCCAAAAAATCCCAACCGGAAGGTAATGGACGCGATAAAATAGCATTAACAAATATATAAGACAGGAACACAGGCAAAAATGCAGAAAATAAACTGCACTGCAGAGGAGGCACTGAAAATCAAAACGCACTTTAGCAGGCCCTGGAGAGACAAAAGGGAGACGAGAAGAAACCTATTTTGGTTTTGGAAAGATCTTAATGAAGATGCCCAGCATATTTCTTTATTAAAGGCTTTCATAAATGCTCACCCCTCTAGCTGAGAAGAACACCCCTCCCCCTTACGAGGAGGAGGGGAAGAAGATATAGTTGGCAGAATTAGCCGCAAGTGGATAGGTCCCCCTTCTGTTTTCTGCCTTCCCTTGGTGACATGATTAAGGATAAGTCCACCTGCTCTTTGATTTTGATGGAATTGCTAAAAAAAAAAAAAGACTTTTTGTGAAACCGTGGTTTTTGCATACTGGCCAATGCACCGAGGCTTCCTCTATCTTGTTATGTTGCAATTTTATCATTGTCAAGGTTCAGGTTCCAGGAATGACAGGAAATATCCAGTTTGACACCTATGGACGTAGAACCAATTACACAATTGATGTGTATGAAATGAGACCTGGCGGGCCACGGAAGGTATGACACAGTTTGTTTGTTTGTTTCTCTGTCTGTCTTTCTTTCTCTCTCTCTTTCTCTTTCTTTCTTTCTCTCTCTCTCTCTTTCTTTCTTCATTATTTATTTATTTATTCCTCTTCCTCCTCCTCCTCTTCCGCCTCTTCCTCCTCCTCTTCATTGCAATGGCCTTTTCTTTTGGTGCAAACTATTCTACAACTTCCAGTTCCTTGGCTAACCCAAAGCATCACCTGGTACCAAACAAGGACATTTCTTTCTTTCTTTCTTTCTCTTTCTTTCTTTCTTTTTCTCTTTCTCTCTTTCTCTTTCTTTCCCTTTTTATTTCTCTCTCTTTCTTTCTTCATTCTCTATTTATTTATTTATTCCTCCTCCTCTTCCTCCTCCTCCTCATTGCAATGGCCTTTTCTTTTGGTGCAAATTATTCTACAACTTCCAATTCCTTGGCTAACCCAAATCATCACCTGGTACCAAACAAAGACAACATTTCTTTCTTTCTTTCTTTCTTTCTTTCTTTCTTTCTTTCTTTCTTTCTTTCTTTCTTTCCTTCCTTCCTTCCTTCCTTCCTTCCTTCTTTCATTCCTTCCATCACATTTATTTATCTATCTATCTATCTATCTATCTATCTATCTATCTATCTATCTATCTATCTATCTATCTATCTATCTATCTATCTATCATCCTTCTACCTATCTATCTATATACCTATCTACCTATAAATACCGGTTACTCAAATTCACTATCTTAACTTGTCAATGCTCTCTTCAACCATAGGCTGGTTATTGGAATGAATATGAACGATTTGTGCCTGCAATTGATTCTACTGTGTCCAACGATACGTCCTCAGTTGAGAACAGAACCATTGTGGTGACTACCATCCTTGTAAGTTGTTACCTCCCTTTAGCCATTCTTTTCTAATCTTGATTCCTTTGAGTCACATTCAGCTTCTGATGCTTTCCTGGACACACAGATCTACGTAGTTTTCTGAAGAACGATATGGATTGGTTGCTCAGCACTTAATTTCCCCAAACTTTGATTGTTCTTCCTACTTTCTGAACTGACAGGCAGATCAGGTTTTCCTTAACATGTTGATGTTTGAACTTATAACTTAAAATGAGCCGTGGTGGCCCAGTGGTTAGAGTGCTGCATTGCAGGCTACTTCTGCTGACTGCTGGCTGGCTGCATGTTACCAGGCTCAAGGTTGACTCAGTCTCCCGTCCTTCCAAGGTGGGTAAAATGAGGGCCCAGATTGTTGGGGGCAAGAGGCTGACTCTGTAAACCGCTTAGAGAGGGCTGTGAAGCACTGTGAAGTGGTATATAAGTCTAAGTGCTATTGCTATTAAAATCACAGGGTTGCAAGGGACATTGGAGGACTTTTAATTCAATCCCCTGATCAAGTATCTTATGTCATTCCGGACAAATGGCTGTCATGAAAACCTCTAGCGATAGAACATGTACAATTTCAGGAGGCAAGCTGTTCCACCGATGAATTGTTCTCCCTGGCAGGAAATTTCTCCTTAGTTCTAGGTTCTTCCAGCTTCTTTGGTTGGGATTTCTCCCCAATCACTCTGATGTTGATGCATTTGAAGGAATCCCTTCCTTCTAACTTATTTTCTCCTTGTGTCATTTTCCAGGAAGCACCCTATGTCATGCGCAAGCAGTCACCTGACCAGAAGGAAGGGAATGAGAAATACGAAGGGTATTGTGTTGACCTCGCTTATGAAATTGCAAAACATGTTGGGATTAAATATGTCCTGTCCATTGTTCCTGATGGGAAGTATGGAGCAAAGGACCCTGAGACTAAAATGTGGAATGGCATGGTGGGTGAGCTGGTCTATGGGGTAAGTCCTTATACGTTGTGGTTCTGCTACTCATTTGCCTTATGATCATATCACCAAAGTTAAGTGGATTACCTCTCCATCTGTCTTTCTTGGCAAAGCTGCTTAGATGTATAGTATCCTGCAAGAATATCCAGCAAAATCCAAGTAGATGAACTATGTTGGCTGTCCAAATATGGAGATGATACCTACCCTTATGGGTGTCCTTAGCTCTGTGATTTCAACTGTTCACCAGTTAATAGTGTCGACCAACTCAAACCAACAGGTTTGCTGAAAACCGTTTAATCATGTCCCAGAAGAGTTCAAACGCCTATCAGAATTCATTGCCCCAGGAAATAATGGGGATTCTAGCAAGAATTTCCTTTTCATGGCTGCCCTCAAGGAACTCTGAGAGTGAAAATTCTCTTTGCAGCAGCTCCCTTTATAATTCTGAGAATTAATGGTGAGAGCAGCAGATTTTGTGATCTGAAATCTCACTGTTTCATTGGCAAGGAAGGAATGGAATTGATCATCGGTAGGCAGCCCAAACATGAAATGTAGAATTTTGAGAAGGCCGTATCTTACTCCCACCTTCCTATGTTGTTCTCTATTAATTGTGCTTCTTTTTCTCTTCTCTTTAAACAGCATTGTTTAAGTGTGAGTGACAGAAGAATAACGTCTCTTTAGAATTTTTGTTCAGACTTTCCACAGCTTTGTGGCATTTCTATTCATCTTTGGGTTGGTTTTGACTTCTAAGAGAAGGCTCAACCCTTCCCACAGAAATGCATTTGATAGCATAGCTTGAGGTTCCCCTCCTGGCATTTTCAGTGCTAAAATATAGGGTATTTGCATCAAGCAGAAAACTCTGTCATGAAAAAATATTCTTAGCATTGTTAAAACGGTTCTCACATGAAAGAAACAGATGCTTGTTCTAAAGGCAGAACACAAGCGATGCTTTAACATTACAAGGATGCTGGTGTTAGGTTAAACAAAATCGGGCGTGCTCCCTTGCCATCTGAGCTCTTGAGGAATTAGAATAATTGGAGGAGAAGCCAATGCTGTATCCTAGGCTTCGGGTTAATGTGCCGAGTAATATTTGGCCCGATTTTTAACCTAGAAGAATGTGACATAGTAAATTGTGGATGAGTTATATGAGCTTGATCTCTCCCAGCAAGGATTTGTAAGACACCTGGTGTCTTTGTGATGTAAATGTTCTCGCTCAGTGTGAAAAAGCAATTCCTCTCCATACCGAATGTCACCATTCAGATTGTTTCGGTGTACACATCAGGAAGCTGTGTCTTCATGGGCTGTCGTTCAATCATCACAGCCTTTGAAAAAATCTGCAGAGTGCTTTAAAACAGGCATGCAATCAGATCTTGTCAAGGAATTGTGCAGCAGCTGTCAAAGTGGAGCCAAAGACACTGACGCCAACGTGGAGTTTAATATTAATAAACATATTTAACATTCATATTTGCAGCAGACGAGTTAGTCAAGAACACAGGGACGTTGTGAGGTAAATCAAACAGCATAGAGAGCACACAGAAAAAAAGGCGGGAAACAAGGGGAACTCCCCCTTACACCCACAGCAGCCAATCATAGCGTAGCTTGCCTCATGCATGAGTCAGCACTCTAACTAGCCAACTACAACTGTGTGTTCTTTACTGTTTCAATTACCAAATTCAATATCCTAACATTTCCGATGCACCATAGTTACATTTCAGGCTCTTGGCTATTCCCCACTTAAAGAGCTTTGCCTTAAATTCTGTCCCGGTCTGTCTGGGTTCTATTCAGGTGACGTGATGCCATATTTTGGGGGGCACCTCCATATTTTTCAGGCATTCCTGGAAGTGGATTTGTTGGATTTGTGTCAGGCAACTGCGCAGCACTGTCCAAATGAAGTCAGAGATACTGACACAAACTTGTAATTCAATATAAATCAATATATTTAACGTTCCTATTTGCAGCAGACGGAGATAGCCAGCAACACAGGAACATTGTGAGGTAAATCACAAATGGCATACAGAGCACCCTGAAGAAAAAAGGCGGGATAAAAAGGGGAAACTCTCCCCCTTTACACCCATAGCTACCAATCACAGCGCAGATTGCCTCACGCAGGAGCCAATACCCTCCAATCAATCAACTACAGCTGTGCCTTTTGTCCCATTGTACATTTTACGGTTCCAGCTACTAAATTTAATATCCTAACAGATCTTATATCTGTGTTGACTAAGAAAGAAGTCCCATTTTATCTAGTAGACTTTGCACTGCAAAGCACAGCTGATCCTCTGTATCTTTATTCATATGTACAATCAACAAGAAGAGATTGTTGCTCAGTGAAAGTATTTAATAAAGCATCTTCTATGTTCATTCGTTCCTAACCACCCAGAATCACTGGCAGCATATAAATGCAATAAATTATGATTACGATTAGTGTTAGGCCTGCCCAAGATAGGTATATTTATAGGATATTTAATTCTTTTTAGTGTTAGGTTAGGTCCCCTAAATGAAGTTCCTCTAATAATAAAATAGAGAGCTTTTTTCTTTAGCAGAAGCAAAAGGTTTTCTATTCCCTTTCCCCCTTCCATGAGTAATTTGCATTACTTTGATATGCAGTAGCTTGCAAAAAAATATTCATGGCAAGAGGAAAGCTAAACTAAACTTCACAAGCCGATACTCTAACAAGCTAAATTCAGCAGAGAGGCTTCTGTTTAATTGGTTGTTGCTATTAACATTGCCTTTATCCAACAGGAAGGGTGTGATTTAAGTTCCATTGATGTATCCTTTAGCAAAGCCGTGTTGCAACCAAATACATTTCACTGTACCTAGGAATACAACACAAGGGATGCAGTGGCTCAGTGGCTAAGATGCTGAGCTTGTCGATCAGAAGGTCGGCAGTTCAGCGGTTCGAATCCCTAGCGCCGCGTAAATGGAGTGAGCTCCTGTTACTTGTCCCAGCTTCTGCCAACCTAGCAGTTCGAAAGCATGTAAAAAGGCAAGTAGAAAAATAGGAGCCACCTTTGGTAGGAAGTAACAGCATTCCATGTGCCTTTGGCACTTAGTCATGCTGACCATGGAGACGTCTTCGGATAGCGCTGGCTCTTCGACTTTGAAACGGAAATGAGCACCACCCCTTAGAGTTGGGAACGACTAGCACATATGTGCAAGGGGAACCTTTACCTTTTAGGAATACAGCAAGATTTGATAGGCTACAGAGCCCGTCTGGTTCAGTTAAGGCATCAAGCTAGAAACCAGGAAGCAGTGAGTTCTAGTCCCACCTTAGGCATGAAAGCCAGCTTGGGGACTTTGGACTAATCATCAGGAAGTTGTGAGTTCTTGTCTCACCTTGGGCATGAAAATTGGTTGGATGACTTTAGGCCAATCACCAGGAGATGGTGAGTTCTAGTCTCACCTTAACCATGAAAGTCAGCTGGGTTCCTTCTCGGACCAGTCCCTCTATTTTAGCCCTGGGAACAGAGGTGGGTTCCTACCAGTTCGCACCTATTCGGTAGAACCGGTTCGTCAAATCTACCAAACCAGTTAGAAGAGGTTCCACCAGTGGACCCA